GATTAATTCACTTATAGTCTAATTTTGTAAAACAGGTGTTATTTTTTGTTTGGATTAGATAAACCTTTGATTCTGTTAATCAATATATCAATAAACAATTCTGAATGAAACGTTTTTTTTTTTTATATTATTCATCTCATTATGTTTTTCAAAACTGAAAAACGTGTCTGACAGACACCACCCGAGTGTACACGTTACTTTGCAGGAGGGTTTTAATCATTAGATTCACCTGACTATTACATAAGGACACATTGTTAAATTTATTTAAGACTAGTAGATAAGGCAATATTGTGAAATTAATCTAAGACACTTAAAACGCATGTACCTAGAAGATTTATCTGTGGTATAAATAAGGATAAAATAGTAAGTATGTTTAGTTTGATATTCCTCTTGAAGATGATCACTTGGTGATCGAAACACGTGTCGAGATGTTAAAATAACGGTTTGGTGTTGGGAAGAAACTCCAGTTATACTCATTGAAGAATCTGTACAACATATTACTGAAAATAAAATTTCGAACATTCATCTCGAGTCCTATTAAATAACTTTAAATTCACAAAAATACGTTGAGTTGAGTTGAGTAATTGAATCCATACACAGAAAATGTAAACGAAAGCTTAGATTTAAAAATATATCTTCAGGTAGAATGTAAATAGAAATAATTTTAAAACAGCCATGACCCAAACTCATGACTAAAAAAAACCTTATCAATTTAGTTCACTCCTGTTTGGTTGTATTCAATATTTTATGAAGGTTATTAAGCCAAACAGCAGTAACGAACTGAATTTCAATAACTACAAACGAAAGTGAATATTCGAATACATAATCGCCGAAATGTTCTTCAGATTCCTGGAAAACAACCAAAAAATAAACTCACCAATTTCATGAATCCTTTCGAATTCATTCACATGTTTCACAAGCACAATCACAATATCTCAATCATCTCCCACATTTCCTGCTAAAAACGAATGGGAATAACATCCAGAGGAATGCCTAGAAATGATTTTACCGCCCCCATGGCCTACTAACTATTGATCCAGCTCTGGATGAAATGTCACTCGCGGAAAGCGAGTGGAAAAAGCCGATAAGACCGAAGTGTTGTTATTTCAATGGGAAAACTACACACATGGCTAGTTGTTGTTGTTATTATGATAAAGTATTTTTAGCAAAGGCGACAAGTGAAGGTCTACAATAATCAAATTGCAAATTGTACTAGCCAACTCGTAATCTGGGATTTGAATCTTTGCGCATTTTATGTGTACGAGGGAAGTGAGATTAGTTGGGGAAGATATGTCGGACCTTGGACTGAATAGCTGTTCGATTAACACAGGGAAAGCGGCACGTGAGTATGTACAGGGGACTCATGGATATTTGTGATGGATATGATTCGAAAATGAGCTTCTCAAAAACATGAAAGAGGTTCTATATGAGCGTTCCAGTTCAATTTAGAGTCCAAAGTAACACTACATTCTGATTTTGTTGTTCACACTAACGGGTCGTTACGAGTAGCCTCTGAGACTTGTCATTATTTAGTTTCAGATTGTGGGCTCCGAACCATGTTTCAACTTTTTCTTCAATTTCTTCAGATTGATCTAATAAAACGTGGTGATCCGGACTTGAACATATAAATAACGTATCATCGGCAAAGAGGGAGTCATGAAGTTGCTTAGCTCATTAACATAAATAATGAATAAAGGTGCAGGGCAGAGCCTTGGGGTGCACCATGATTCATTTCCCTAAAATCCGATGTACTATTATTGAAACAAACTGCCTGAAATCGATTTTTCAGGTAGGATTCAAAAAGCAAAAGTGCAACTCCTCTTAATCCATAGGAATATAATGTTTCCTGTAGGATGTTATGATCAACACAGTCGAAGGCTTTCGAAAAGTTGCACAAAGTGGCAGCTGTATGACTCCGCTGTTTAAGGCCCTGGACTATGCCACTGACTATATCCATTACCGCTGCTATGGTTGAGCTACCAGCCCTAAAACCAAACTGTGAGTCACTAAAATAACTGTTGAGATCATGGAAATTTTGATAACTTATTCTAGTACCTATCCTTCTTTTGTTTTCTGCAATCGTCATGAAATTGCCATAAAAAATCTTTCATCGAATATGGTTCCATGTTACACAACAAATCGAAAACTAGATTTTCGAAGTATGCCTTCTGCCTCCTTCTCTGATTGTCAATGGTGAATGATTGTATATTTTGAAGGCCATATAGAGTGGAACTTTTTCTGTATTTCTTAGTCTTTGTTAAGGAAGAATGATGTTCGAGTTATTCCTAGTGACTTACTCGTGAATGTTTTTATTAATGATTAATTTTTCTGTATTGTCATAAAAGAAAATGACACAAACATAAATATTACGACAGAAGTCTGTAAAGTTCATGTTGAGCATAGTCTTTATTACGCGTTTTTGCATAATGAAAATCCGATCCAAGAGAGTACTTACACCCCAGAACATAACTTCGTATTTAAGGAAAGTATGGATTTTTCCATAGTATGCCGTTTTTAGTGCAGCTGTATTCAAGTGACTTCTTAAAACTCTAATTGCATAACATTTAATGGACTTGCTGACAGCAAGTGGGACCTTTATACTTATCACGCTATTGCGTGAAGACGCCACTCGACCTGAGGAAAGCGAAGGTCAGACACTTTGATAAGCCGATGTCTTCAATGTTGTTGAAGAAGACCCCGTGCATTGGCTTATCCTTGAATTGCCGCAGGAGTGAAGTGATATCTGCGTCTTTTATATGGGCTTTTTGTTGAACGGATTCCAACTCGGTGACAGAGTAATGGTCCCCTCGGTCGGTATCAAAAACCAAAACCGAGGTCATATGCTGCTCCGGTAATAACCCTGAAATAAAAAGCTCCAATTCCTGCTCCAGTACCTTTCTGTCATGTAGACACTCCAAACTCAAGAGTCCACGGCTTCCCTGTTGTCGAGAAAAGTATAACCGTGAAACTGACGGATTGAAGTCCAAACTTTTATGGAGATGCATCATTTTCCGTGTCTTCAAGTCGAGTTGATAGAGCTCCTCCCGCGTCCACTTCACTACCCCAATCGAGTAGAGTAAGATTGGAACGGCAAGCATATTTGTTGCAGCAACTTTGTTCTTCCCCGACAGTTACGATGACCAGATATGTCCCTGCATACAGAGGTGATTTTTTGTGATGTGATCTGAGTATGGGATGTAAGCGAAAGTTATTTTTCTTTCTTGTATCGTATCTGTAGTACTCACTGTTTTTATTTAGTTTTCCTTTATTCAAAAAGGTATACGTCAGTAATTTATACAAATAAATAGATGTGAATGTTAAAATATTGTTATTTGTGAAGGTGTTCCTACACGATTCTCTGTAGTCTAAATCATATATCATTCTGATGAACTTTTTTTGTTGTAGGTTTTGAGACAACTTTTATGGTGTCAATATACAAGTATTTACAGACTTACAGCTGGGTATCTCGAATTCCGAGATTCTTACCTAATTTAAGGTTAAATGACTGGATTATTATCACGTGATTGCGTTGAAGACACCACTCGACCTGAGGAAAGCGAAGGTCAGACACTTTGATAAGCCGATGTCTTCAATGTTGTTGAAAAAGACCCCATGCATTGGCTTATCCTTGTGTTGCCGCAGGAGTAAAGTGATATATGCATCTTTTATATGGGCGAGTATTTCTGAGCGCAATTTCATTATTAGTATTATCACTTTACTCAATTCATTTTCAGTTGCTAATAGCCCCGGAGGTTGATGTCACTTTAAATTAAGTAATGAGAGAAAAATAACAAGAAATATCAAGAACTGGGCGAGAATGACAAAAAAACATAGAAGAATTAAAGGGATTCCTCGTTTGGTCGAATCGAGTGATACATCATAGGTTAGGTTAGGTTAGGACAAAAGTGAGTGGGTCTATTTGACCCTCCACCGTAACCCGCAAGGGTTTATTGTGGCTCACAGCTATTCACACTCAACCAAATAAACATAGCTTCTCAACGAAGCCGACTAGTTTGTATGGTTTTTAGGTCAGATGGTAAGTGTACGGCTCTGCCAAACACTGAAAACCTTATTCGATCTCCAGCGGGGCAGGCACAAAGCATGTGCTCTGCTGTGTAGAGTATAAGCAATAACAATTAATGAAAACTTGGTTGCCACATTGTGAAAATAACATCATTGAGAATTGCATATGTTATACCTGCCCCCAAAACAGCTGATATCTTAGACTACAAAGATTTCAGATCCATAAGTATTCAACCCACCATGTTTAAGTTATTGGAATGCATTTTGAACAAACAAATAAGTAACTTTAATCAAATGCATCTCCCTCAGTCGGGTTTTAGGCCTCTACAAAGCTGTACAACAGCTTTGCTTAAAATAACGGATGACATGTTGGCAGCAACAGATACAGGAGGCATCTCGTTATTGATCTCACTGGACTACAGTGAAGCATTCGACTCATTGAATCCAGAAATACTTATATCCATGCTCAATTATATTGGCTTCTCTAAAACAGCCGTTAAGATGATGCAAGAATACTTCNTTATTCTGTAAGAATTATGAATTACCCCTCTTTTATTCCTTTTTTGTTTTTTTTTCTTTCTGTTACCACATAGGCACCATAATTTTTTGTACATTATATGTTTCATGAATACTAGTTTTGTATATTGCAAAGGAGCTGAATGGAAGAGCCGGATTTGGCGTGTTGCACACGCTTGTCTCCTGAATTCCGCTCCGGTATTTTACCAAACCCATTGTATTTTCCTTTGTTTACTTTCTTTTTTACCTTGGTAAATAAAAAACATTATTATTATTATCATCATCCAATTCAATTAACCAATCTCAGGCTTATACAAAATCTGGAATTTAGTTCTGACGATAATATGAGCATTAACCGTTTTCCTTACTACTGCAAATCTCAAGTACTGCAAGTGCTTTAATTTCTTTACTTCCCGATTAGCTCATCGATCATGCATCCAAATGATTAGTAAAACTACTCATCGGTGAAAAATCACTAATTTTAATTACAAATATATAAACAACGTCAACCTACAGCAGAGAGCAATAATGAACACAAACAATAAATTAACTAAAGCCGTCCATTATCCTGAGGAGTCTACGGTTATCCTGTTCAATCCTAGTTTCTGTATTTGTCCAGTGTAGAAAGAATTGAAATCCAGCCTGAAAAAGCAACAAGTTGATGAATGAATGGACTCAAATTTGATGAAAGCCTTACCGATATTGGTCTTTGGGATTGAGATTGCTTTAGGATGGATTGAAAGGGAGATAATGCTGGCCGTCTATTGAAGGGCATAATGCGAGAATTCTAATAAAAAAAGGAAAAGGATATTGGGTACTGATTCTTGGAGGTAAATGAACAACCACAGGAGCTAACAAGAATATACAGGGGTCGTTTGAAGTTGGTGTTAGCTTTTGGATGATGAAACTAATGGGATGGTTTCATTTGAAAGATGCATTTTTTAAAATAACGTAAAATCGAAAAATTTCATGAGGTTTAGGAGCCGCACAATTAAACACAATTACAAGATTTGAATATTATCAAATGAAGATTGAAAATGTCCTTATTGAAAAAAATGCTTGACATTCGAAGAAGAATATTGAACTATGTAACAAAATTTAATCTTTATTATACAGGCTGATCACGATGGATTACACGTTTCTGATGAACCAGTCAACGGTTCACTTTTAAAATTTAATGGGGAGCATATTCGGACATTCTCTACCAACTAAAATATTTTCAACAATGCAGTGTTGCCAATTCCATTAGAAAGTAGTAACAACTTTGATTTTTCAAATGGAACACCCTGTACATACAATTTTTTTGGAGTCTACAATTACCCGACAACTTTTCTTGATATTTCCTTTTACCTATTTGTTACCGTTTTCGAAATATGAATCAACTTTGATTTTTTCCTTTGGAAATCATGACCTCTGAAAATGCTGGTATCTTCTTTAAGTAAAGGAATATTATGTTGCCGGAATTTGGTTTGGAGTTAGGTGATACTTGGGAGCTTTCCACACTTCAGCGTAATCTTCGTTACGTCAATACAGGGTGGTAAAAAAATACAGTTTTTTTCTTTTTATTGGAAAAGTGACTGAAACTTGATTATTTCAAATGGAACACCCTGATCTACCGGAGTTTGTGCTGGTACTTGCCGCGGAGAGAGTTCTTCACTGCTGTTATCTCTTGCGAGTGGCGTTGTTCCACCCGAGGCAAGTATACGTCTCTCATCCTCTTCATAATCTCCGCATCGTCCAATTTTGAGATGAACTGTTGTACATTTTTCTATCCCTAATTTCATATCGATAGCATTCGTGCACTCTTCCACCACCCTCACGGTGGAGGTCCTTTTCCCCAGAGAACTAAAGTTTATGATAATCCATATGAAACAAATGGGTGACCTTAGGTTTCCAGAGGTGCCACAGTTTTACCCTCGAGTACTTCTAAGCGCAACGGAAATACACCTCTACTGAAATTGATCCGCTCTGTTTGGACTCTAGCCTGACTAAATGTTATGGTGGGCCGAGTCCACCAGAGTTGAATCAGTTCTTCAAAGGATCTAACTATTTTGTCAGGTACAATAAGGCATCATGTTATCGGTCTGTAGTTCTTAGGAATCGACAAATCCCCGTTGTTGGGAATAAGAACGGTTTGCTCATCGAAAAACTAATCCGGAATCGGCTGCTCTTCGTCCAGCCATAAGTTGAAAACTCTGGCCAGATGGCGTTGGGTGCTTGATAGTATTTTCCACCAATAAATGTTTAGTCGATCTAGGTTTGGAGCAGGCCTATCTAATTCATAGATTCAAAGGATATCCAATATCAAATTTTGTACACATGTTCGTGGAGGTATTAGAAGTGAGATAGGATACTTTTTATTTATTTATTTATTTATTTATTTCCCCAACACCAAAACGTTATTTTTAACACCTCGACACGTGTTTCGATCACCAAGTGATCATCTTCAAAGAGGAGGATTAAAACTGTGCATCATAAGTAGCATTCCAGTAATGAAGTTCCAACCGTTGGTACCGTAATACCGTCGCACTGTATTATTCACAGACACGACAAAATGCAATCCAAGCCAACCTAATCCAATCGACTATAGTTTGAGCTGTTTGGAATTTTTCTATATTTATTGTTATTTTCTTCTGTCATTTTTATTTTTAGGTTGGGTTAGGTTAGGTGAGGTGAGGTGAGGTTAGGTTAGGTTAGGTTAGGTTAGGTTAGGTTAGGTTAGGTTAGGTTAGGTTAGGTTATTTTTCTTACAGTAAAATATATTTCAACATTTGTTATTGCAATTCAATAAAGCATATTTTAAATTTTTGAAACTTCATCAAATGTAATAATTTTTAAAAATTGATAATCCCAGCCAAGCATTAAAATATAGTTCTCGTATTGATTCATTTCGATTGTACTGACACTTAATGGCATAAATGCAAACGAAGCCGCGAGTAAAAGCTTGTATTGTATACATGAAACGTGATTCACTTAATTGAATAGTAACCTCTTTTTAATCAACATTGGAGAGTAGGAGAGTAATTAAAATGATATGTGCTTCTTAAACAAAATTTCAACTGGTAACATTAATTGTAATGAAATTGTATCCTTGGTTAATTTAAATATGAACAAGCAAACGAGATCCAGCAATGAGATTGTCGAAATTCTGTTTTATTCAACGAATTATGGTTTCAAATGTTGAGACATGGATATGAGGTTCAATGTGCTGCCAAATGATTTCTCAAGATCTTAATAAGTCATTTGCTTGACTGAAATTATATTTGTATTCTTTTCTATTTATTTCGTATTTTGTTTATACGCTTATATTAGTTTCAAGATTTTTTTTTTGTAACTTTGTATTTTTCAATTATAATTGGAGCTACCCGTTGAACGAATTAATAAATCTGTTTAAAAATCTGTTTAAAATCTGTTTTTCCGTTAATCAGCTATCGCCCCCATACGAACGAGCTAAGGACTAACGAGGTCTTACCTTTTAACGTGTAATTCCTAACACGGTTGCAGAATCATTCCAGCTTCAACCAGATAAATTCTCTCGAGAAAAATATTTGGCCGAAGCGGGAATCGAACCCGCGATCATCCGATCGTGAGTCGGGCGCACTACCACCGCGGCCAATTCCACACAAATGAATAAGTGAATGAAGTAAAACTCAAAGGCTTGTAATGGATATCTAATATCAGTATCTAGTGAACTTTGAGCACATTATCTTTCCGTATACTATGATCCTCAAACATCCTGATAACAAAAACTCTACAGTTTCATATAGCCTGAAGAAATATATCCACTCACCTGTACAACAAATTGAAGAGCCTATCGTGCTCGCTAGTTTCCCTATTGAGGTCGTTTATCTGATCGAGTAACTTCATCAACGCTGCCGAAAACTCTGTGTCATACAAAGAAATTTTCTCCTTGAAACTTGGCGCTGGTTCGTTAGGATTCGGGTTGTTTCCTTGGAACACCAGCTCGCTCTGAAATACATCAAAAGTCAGTCATCGTAGAGTTCACTGCGAACGAGCATGCAAAAGCAAACAGGGTGACACAAACATTCTAATGAAAATTATTGAAAATAATAAGGGTGCTAATTATTGGAGTATGAGATGTGATGTGTTATTCGCGAGAAGAATCTCTAAGCAATATTAATTTGTTTCAAAAGTTTTGAACTGTAATATTTCAGTGAATACTTATTCAATCAATTCGAAATGAGCGCCATTTTATTTCAGTACACTTTTGCCAACGTAACACAAGCTTTTTGCCTTGTCCTGATTGGCGAAAGTTCTATCAGCGAGAAAGTTATTTTAGTGCTTGAAAAGATGGTAGTCAGTTGGAGCAGAGTCTGGAGAGTCTGGGGAGTAGGAAGAGTGAGGCAAAACTTCGACGCTCAATTCGTTCAATTGTCGGGCTGTGATTTGTGAGAAGTGCGGACGGGCGTTGTCGTGGAACAGGATCGGACCTCTTCTGTTGACCAGTCGGCTGCTGCTGACGCAATGTTTGATACATTTCGTCGATTTCCCCACAAAAGGAAGAAGGAACTATTAAGAGCAGATAGTTGTTGGTTCACAGATGGATCAAAAACACCTTCCAGTTCTGGTGCAGGTGTTTTCAGTCGCAGACCCAGGACAGGAACCTATGGGACTGTATTTCAAGCGGGAATTTACGCTAATGAAAACGACTCTCCTCGAAGGTAACGAGGCTGCTGACTCCCTGGCCAAGGAAAGTACTGCAAGCCGCTTCATCGGACCAGAACCGGTCATTGGCATCGCTGTAGGCTTTGCCAAACAAAGATTGAACACCTGCATGGCAAGATTTATGGACTTCTGGCAGAATCTTCCAGGATTGGCTTACTCCAAGGCGTTTATTCACCCTTCGAAGCTTGATAAAAAACAGTTAATGGAGTACAGTAGGGATGAACTACGATGTCTAACAGGCCTTCTTGTAGGTCATTGTCATTGAAATCGTCATTTGCAGAGACTCGGACTGTCGGAAGACAATGTGTGTTGCCTCTATTTGGATATGAAACAGCAGAGCACATATTTTGTGCCTGCCCTGCTGAGGACCGAATCAAGTTTTCAAAGTTTGGTAGAGCCGTACTCTTATCTTCTGACCTGAAAGACCACTCACCATACAAACTAATCAGCTTCGTTAAGAAGCTGGGTTCATTTGGTCTAGTGAGACCGTAACCTAACCTTACCCCACAAAAGGACTCTGCCGTGATGGTTTGACCCGGTTATAAATAGTTATAGTGAATCATACCAGCCGCTAACCACCACACAGCAACCATAGTCTTTTTTTTGGTGGGCTTTCGCCTTTGGGAAGTGGTTGGGTGGTTCATCAGTATCCAACCACTATCCTAAACATCACCTGTTGTCGTACAGTATCCAATTTTTGTCACACGTGGCGATCCGATCAAAAAAAGGATTGTTTTTGTTACGTAAAAGCAAAGAACAGACTTCGCAAAGTGACAATTTCTAACAATCGTTTAAATCGTGGGCCACAAACTTTTCGAGCTTTTTGACATTTCCAATACGTCCCGAACCATCAAAAATTGCATGGGTGTTGGCGGCCAGTTCTTCCGCCATCCCACGAACCGTTTGTGATGGGTCAGTCTCCACCAGGATCCTCAAATCCTCGTCCAGGATTACTGTAAGTCGACCATTTCGGGGCTCATCTTCGAGGCTAAAATTTCCGGAAAGAAATTTCGCGAACCAACGTCGGACAGTGCGTTTATTAACACTATCATTGCCAAACGCCTGGTTGATTTTGCGGGCTGTTTCGGCAGGCCTTTGTTTCAATTTGAATTTGTAGAGAAAAATTGGCCACGACATATAGTAATAAGCTGAAAAGAGGCAAATAATCATAATTAAAAAAAATGAACACCATCAATGTGTAGAGTACAAAACTATCTATCAATCAATATATACATCAACACAGTACGATAGGTAGCCTTTTATGTTTCGGGAATTGGCAACCCTAGTGTTGCAATCTGGCAACTAATAGCTCTATCGTAAAGTTGGACATTTTTGAGTTGATACGTACTCAGAACATTCTGACATACGCGCGCTATTTGTGTTGTTACAGTAACTTAAAAGATTCACCTCGGCCCAAAAATGGAATTGAATCGTGAACATTTTCGTGAGATTATTTTTTACAACTTTCGACGTGGATTAACTCAGCAACAGTGCATGAATGAACTTAATTCAATTTTTGGCGATGAAGCTCCATCAAGAACCAGTGTTTATAGATGGTATGGTGAATTCAATCGTAGTCGTAGTTCACTCCAAGACGAATTTCGTGAAGGTCGTCCAAATTCAGTTGTTGTTCCGAAAACCATTGATGCTGTGCACAAACTGATATTGCAAGATCGTCATGTGACCTATCGTGAGATTGAGACATCCTTGGGCATTAGTGGGACCAGCATACATTCAATATTACATAAACATTTGACTGTCAAAAAAATTGTTCGCGTTCGATCCCACACAATTTGTCAATCGCTCAAAAAAAAGGCTCATGTCGATTGGTGGAAGGAAATGCTCAAAAAATACTATCGCGGTGCTTCGAAACACGTCTATGACATTGTGACAGGTGATTAATCGTGAATTTACACGTATGAGCCCGAAAGTAAACAGCAGTCGACTGTATGGGTGTTTCAAGAAGACCCAAATCCAACAAAAGTTGTTCACGCATGAAGCACCTCCAAGCAAATGGTCGCCGGTTTTCTCGAAAACTGGACATGTCGCACCCGTACCACTAGAACAACGCAGAAAAGTCAATTCTGGGTGGTACACAACCATTTGTTTGCCAGTTGTCTTCCAAGAAATCAAGAAAACCAACCGCCGAAGACGGATCACTCTTCACCACGACCATGCGAGCTCTCACACATCGGCTCACCCAAAAGATCGATTTGATGAGTCATCCGCCGTATAGTCCTGACTTGGCACCGAATGACTTCTTTTTATTCCCTGACGTGAAAAACAAACTGAGAGGTCAACGTTTTTGGACACCTGAAGAAGCGGTTGCTGCAATTAGAATGCATGTTTTGGAGATAACTCCATCAGAGTGGCAAAAGTACTTCGACAATTGGTTCAAACGTATGCAAAAGTGTATAGATCTTGATGGGGAATATTTTGAAAAACAATGAAGGGATTTTTGACGATTAATATTTGTTTTTGTTCTCTAATCCCGAATTATAAAAGGCAACCATCGTAAAATAAAAATATATTGGGATATGGAGCTACAAAAACACGGACACTAAAACGGACAAAACTTTTGAAACAAACTAATAATTCCAAGAGAATAGAATTCAAACATTCACTTCTCCCAACGATCCTATAGAGTAGGATTTGGTTTCCTGGCAGAGGAAATTCTTGCATATACTTCTCATGCCAACTCATGGAATTTGGACAACTCAATTTTTTCTGTGTAAATATAAAATTCTATTATAACACGAGTTATAAACGACTTCCAGTGTAACCCACCGCACCGGAAGTGATATCACTGAAAAAATGACAGATTTGCATAGCAGATTTAATTGAAAAAAGTTAAACAAGTTGATGTTATCATCATAGTAACGGTTGAACTCGTGTCCCTCTGCCAAAAAAAGGTTTGCAAATGTAGAATTGGTCTTCACATTCACAAAATACTCATTTGTTCTTTTATTCTTTGAGTAAAGGTTCTCCCCGTTTGGCCAATATAAAGTTTTGGTCAAAAACCACAAAACAATTTATATACTCTTGAAGTATCCAACAATAGAGTTTTGCCTTTATCGTTGTCAATAAATACGCTTGAGTAACTGTTTGTTCTCCAAGCCTCGTCTAAACTTTTCTTTTTCAAAAAACGAGCGATGTTATTGGTGAGCTCTCCAGGGTGTCAATTTTTTATGATGCTCATTATCGTTTTTTTGATGTGGGATAGACCTGGCTTATTTTATTAGTTTTTTGGAAAGAATGGACTCGATAATATCTACCTTGACAGCGATATGTTTGATGAAACTCAGTTCCCTCTGAAAATTAATTTCCGACAGAGGAATGTGCAATAATCTCTCGCCAGATCGAATATGCACAAATTGGTAAAACTTCGGATAGATTGTATCCTCCTTTTGGGTGTATTTACGTATTTTGACGTGTAGATTACGAACCCGAAAATAAAAATGGGCGCTCCCTTTTATTTTCAGAATTACAGCCTTTCAAACTTCAAAAATGATAACATTCCAGCCTTTTTTTAACACCATAGAAATATAGAAAAACACAACTACTCATTCACCACATTACTTTCACATCTTATTTCACCTTCTTTGACACTTATCGGTTCAATGATCAACATTTTTTCTATAAAAACTTGATTTTACAATGGATTCGTTTTCTGGTGACATTTCTCCATTTCAAGGTTATATACTTGTGACATTTCGGAAAAATGCGGTTGGTAATCGTCACCGACTATTATTCGAAATTCGTATGATTTGAATGCCCATTTTGAAGTGAGCGACAGAGGAGAACAAATTTATCCCACTTCTGACACCAAATGTTACAAAGGTACAATTTACCTAACTTTGAAGGGCTATAGCTCTGGAAAAATGGAGAGCACCGACTTCTTCTTATGAATTCGTAATTTACACGTCTATCCGAAATTTTACCCTAATATTATACATATTAGCATCGAACTACCATTGTCATGTCTTTCCATTACTGCCATAGACGCGTGTGGCCATCATCAAGGTTTTCTTCATTTGATTTCAAGTGTGCCTAGGTTCTGAAATCACTCCTAAATATTTAACCTCTACTATCAATTTTATTCACAGTAACAACATCAATAACATATGTACCGTTTTGCATTCACTTATTACATACAAGCAGACGTGAACATGTACAAAAATAAACAATGTAAACAGAAATGAAGTAAAAGTAACCATGCTTAACAGAGGTTGAAGCTAAGCTAGTCCAGAAAGCTCGAAATACCTGAGTGAAGGACTCATAAAAAGAATTTGGCAAAGAACCCAGCTCTGCTTCCACAAAATATCGCTGCATCTGCTGTTTATGTAATAATTATGATATCAATATTGGAATAACACGAAAGATACAATAATATTTGAAAAAGTTGTATTACTAAACATATAAGCTCAGAATAAATTCAAATGTGACTCAAAATTTCAAGCGTCTCACCTAATTCTCAGATATTTTGGCAATTCAATGTCATAATCTTTAGTTTTTATCACTCAGAAACAAGTTGCAAATTAAATTGCGTAGAAAAGTAATTTATAATTTTTTTTCTACTTAATCGATTTTTGCCTCAAATCCAAATAAACAAATTTTTTTGCTTAAGTCGGTGGGAAATTTAAATTGCAATTACTCTTGTCCATTGTAATGCAGTTTTTCAGTATCGCATTGAATATTGTACATTTGTGCTTGAAAACCTTTCTCAAATGATCACCTATTTATGTTCATTTCAAGCTCAGAGATCACAGGGAACTTATGGAGGTCGGCATCGGCCATTGTGGTACCTCAGAAGGTTATTTCGGTCAGCTTTGGTTCACCGATAGGGGGCAATGATAAATCCATTTAAACCTAAATGAAAGACACTAGGGGTATCGTTTCTATAGTGACCAAATTCCATTATTGTTTGGCGGTATATCTTCTCCAGTGAGGTTGTACAAACACCATCTAAAGAAGGACACTGAACCACAAATACATAGCTGGTATCAACTATCTTCAAAGGACAATTCTAAGTACTGTCTAGCACTACCGATGAGTACGGCGGGTCGAAACAACGATGTCGGCAAAGCTTTGCTTTGCAACTGGCTGCCTTGGGAAGCCTCGAATATTCGATATTCAAGTATTAAGTTCTCTGTCGAAGTCATAGATGGCGTCTTCGCAAGAGGAAATATCTTCACCCTTCCTAATTCAGGATTGTGCTTTAAAGACACTAGAGTCCTGTGAAAGTATCTATAGAAGAGAGGCAAATCTCCAACTTTTTTTCGATGTTCCAGGCTAGCAAAGTTGCAGGTGATGTTCGCGTCTCCAATCAGGCGGATGGCTCTTTTCTGGATGGAATCCAGCAACTTTAGGGTATGTTTGGGGGCAGAGCTCCATACATCAGAACAATACTCAAAAGAAGGTCTGATCTGAGCTTTATAAAGCATCAAAAGTTGCTTAGGTGTGTACAGTTTTCTAGCTTTTGGTGTCTATTTTAACCCCCAACAAACTTAGTGAAGCAGAAAGCGGAATTGTCCGGTTCGGAGACATTTATCTTCTTGAAGAAAACCGATGCCTTGGTTTTTGTGGCATTGAAATGGACCTGGTTACTTTCACCCCAATTCGAAATCACTTCTAGATCCTCATTAAGATATGCAGCCTCCTGCTGCCGGTGAAGATGTGCCTCTGTAGCCGATGTCCTGGAATCCAAATGGAATGGAAACAAGTGTCAGCAAAGCATTATATTGGATTCTTGTTTTTTTCCAATAAGTCGTTGATATACAATAAAAAAGGGTTAGAGACCAAATGGAAAGAATATGAAAGGGAAGGCCCTTTCGAAACAGCTATTTTCATATAAACATTGAATTACATGAAAGACAAATACTTTCGAAACAAATACTTTTACATGAACGCTGAATTATACGAAAAACACTTCTATTCCGTTTGTATTCAAAATATTCGTGATGGGATCGAATCAGATTATCCTTCACAGGATTTCTACACAATATAATCAATAATAGAGGTAAAATTTCACTCACATGGAACACTGTCATCCTCGCTGCTAGACATCAGATGTTTCGCAGTAAGACACTTGCCTTATCGGCTCTTCAGTAGCAAATACGGATAACATTATAAGGAAAAACACTCAATTTATTCATAATTACGACTTTTTGTAACAGAATGGGTTAAATCCACCCATATCATCAGTGACAGTACGTAAATAATATTCATTCGCTTATTTGATTAAATCCCAGCCATATTTGAAATTCATTACTTCGTTCCTTTCTTTGGAAGATTCCCACATTTGTTGTATGAAGATGGAGAAGTAGTAGGCCAAAATCTTTCTTTCCCAATAATTGATCTGAAAGTCGTAATTTTATGAATGTATTGAGTGTTTTTTTCTTATAATGTTATCCGTATTTGCTACTAAAGAGCCGATAAGGCGAGTATCTTACGGCGAAACATCGGATGTCTAGCAGTGATGACGACAGTGATGATGACAGCAGTGTTTACTTCTATCGTTAATTATTTTGTGTAGGAATCCTGTGAATGATATCCGATTCGATTCCATCAGGAATGTTTAGAATACAAAAGGAATAGAGAAAATTGTTTTTTCATATAATTCAGCGTTCATATAATGTATTGCTTCTTTCCTTTCTTTGGAAGATTCACACATTTTTTGTATCAAGATGGATTAGCAGAAAGTCAAAATCTTTCTTTCCCACAAATTATACTCTACACTAAGCTTTTTTTTATATTTTTGTGCTGACTTGTTATTACCTATAATTGGTTAGTTGTAACATGCTGGTCCTAGTCCATTTCATTCAAATTTATTGTATAATTTTCAAAGTAACCTTACATTTCTGTATAAAGTCAATGAGATATTCAATTTTATTGCATAATCATTGATTTTATTGGTAAACATAACATTAAAACTTAAAAAAATAAGTATCGAAATCTGTGTTTATAAGTTAAGCGGGACATGTACTTGAGAAACTAAATATAAAAACTGTTTTAAGGCAACTATAAAATAAAAAAGAGACCTTTTATTAGTAGATTGATGTATTAAAAGGTGCAACAACACCAAAACAAATTTGAAGCGTTCCAAGTTAGTAATCAAAATATATCTCAAGAAAAAACATTTTGTCGCATATTTAAAGGTGTACTCCTGAAGATGTATTATTCATGTTGGTGAAAATTAGAGAAGCACTCATTTACATACAAGACAATGACCAATCGTGAAAAACGGCAATACAATGCTCGCAACATTTTCATTTCCCTCCTTTACACACAGATAGTAGGCTAGGAATAAAAAAAGGTTTTCGTAACAGATAATTTGTTACAAAGTGATAAATGTATAATTCAAGTAGTTTCATTATTTGTCGCCTATTATGCCAGGCTTTATGCACAAAAGCAGCTTGTAGATGTGCATCAAAACGATCAACATAACCTCAATTGGGCGTGTTTATTTTGTGACATAAATGAAATCAGTACCAGGTGGCTGCAGAATCGAAAAAAAATCACTTTGAAAACTGTGGTTTCATTCTGTACAAATACTTGTTTAATCGCTCTACACTCACCTGCATAAACTTGCAAAATTCTTCGCATATTATCAACAGTTTGATGATCGTACTCAGAATTTCAGGAATGGTTAACATACAGTCTTTGAGGCAGTTATTCAAGAAATCACAGTGGCACGAGAGGATTTCGTCGACATTGTTCACCTGAAAAAATTCAACGAGTACAGTCAACTATCACAGCAAATACGAAGTTTATCTAGAAAGATTATTTCCCCCCCTTCGAAATTGTCCTACACAAAAATCTTTTTTTATAAAATTATAACTGTTTTGGTGATTGGGAAATCTACAAACTGTCAACAAATGAGTTGTTATCCAATTCAAATAGTATATATAATCAACCATCTAAAGAAGGACACTGAACT